GAGGCGGCGGAGGAAAGGAGGCGGCGGCGGCGCTGACGCTGCGGCAAAGGATCCGGGATCGAGGCGCGGCGGCGAGCGGCTCTAGGGGAGTGCGCCTGCGCGCTCCACCTGAGGGGGCGGGACGGCGCCTCCAGGTTGCGCCCCCTCCCCCTTCCTCGGGTTCTGATTCCACCTCCTCGCTCCAGGCCTCGGGGTGCCTCGACTCCTGTGGCCTCTGCTGCCGGGGACCTTCTCTGTTCTCTACATACACGGCTCGGCCTGGGGTGGGCTTCCCCGGGATACACTTTTCCCTCGGGATCCCACCCAACCCCCAACCTCCACCCCGCTGGAGCAGGGGACCTGCCTGGGGCCTGGAGGCGCGAGCCCCAGGAACTCCGGGACACCAGGCGCGCACGGAGGAAAAGGTGCGTCCAAAGACGCACCTGGGCCCTCAGAGACCCATGATAAAAGCAAGCACACGCCCAGAAGGAGGCAGGTGCTGGCGACCGCTATGGTTGGAATGGGGCGGCTGCTCTCAGTGAGGCCACCAGGGGGCAAGAGTGACCTGGAGCGGCTGATGAGGGACAGCTGGGAGCTGTCCACGGTCCCTAGGTCCCTGAGGCCTCAGGACGACAAGCAGCTATGGATGCACCCCCTCCCTCTGCACCTGTTGCCCCCAGAGAGCACGCCCACCCATCCCACCTGGGAAACCTCCCTCTGACTCACCTCACTGAGAGAACAAGGGTGAGCACCCCCATGCTTCCCCTCAGCCCTCTGTGCCTCAGAACTCCAAAGAGAGGGCTGGCTGCCCCCAGGGTTGTGAATGGCTCGAAACCCCGAAACCCTGCAGAAGGTGGGGGTGCGCGAGCAGGACCGCCGTTCTCCCCTCAGGCCACTGACCAGACAGAAATAGTGTCTGCGCTCACTTTCTAGAAAGGTTGAGGGGCAGGGAGACACAGCCCAAACCATGCCTTCCCACGCTGAACAAAACAGTGCTTACAGGCCGAGGCTGCAGGAGCAGCAGGTGGGGGCGCCCACCAGCTCTCTACCCTACCCCATCCCGTGGCAAGGTTGGAACCTCCTGGGGATGCAGAAGAGGGCACCCAGGCAGGAGGGGAGCTGTGTCCCAATGTGACGGCACCTGGGCTTTATAGCCAGGCTCCTCACCAGGTGCTTCTCTCTGAGCACTGGGGCCCTGCACCCTCCTGGCCCTCATCTCAACTCGCCCCCAGCACCACTTCCCGTCAAGAGTTCCCCCCCGCCCGGGGCCCCCAGTCCCTTCCAGCACTGAGTGCTCTAGGCGGCTGCCTTGCCCACTACCTCCCCTTTCTACCACCTCCACGCTCCCCACCCTCACCCCCAGGCCAATTCTAGGCCAGGGCCCAGCCTCCAGTCTTGCTTGGGTCACTGTCGCAGATCTGGAGGTGCTGCAGGGGCCCCGCTGGCCAGATAAGACTCAGGGGACTCGGGGACTTTCTCTTGGGCCGCCATCCCACAGCTACTCCAGGCCCGCCCTGGAGCAGGGGAGCAGGATCTTCACCGCTCTGTGTCTGTGCCCAGGGAGGAAGGAAGTAGGAAGAGCCTGGGGCCAGCCTTGGGACTAGCAGTGGGTCTTCCTGGCCAACACAGCTGCGGGGAGGAGGGGTGGGCAGCTGCAAGGAGGCCCCACCCTATGAACATTCTCTCCAGTGCTCTAGAAAGAAGTTTGTATTACAAAATTTTTACAAGTAGGCGCTGTGGGCTCTGACCCTCCCCCTCATACAGAGCCAGACCCCGGAGGGCGGGGGTGCTCCGAGGGCCCTAACTCCACTCCCTACACACCCAGCCCTGCACGGGCTGAGGGCTGCGGGGTGTCTGAATCCCCCACCCCCAGGAAGAGGAGGGCCGGGAGACCCTGTAGGCTGCAGGATGTTGGCGCCGGCAGGCAGGGCCTGGACTCGGTTCCCTTCGCGCAGCCCGGCCCCCCGTGGGCGTGCACGCCAGCGTCCGCGTCTCGGTCGGGGCAGCGGTGGGGTGGGGGCGGTGGGGGTGGGAGACGCGACGGGGGCAGCTGTCCCCAGCTCGCCCCTAGATGGCGCTCGACGAGTTGGCCGAGCGCGCCTGGCGCAGCAGCAGGACGAACGCGGCCAGAAGCATGGCGGCGAAGAGCAGGACAAGGACGACCCAGGCGCTGAAGTCTGTGCCCTTGCGCAGCGCCGGCGGCTCGGCGGGGATCAGGTTGGTCAGGTTCAGCATGTAGCCGAGCGCCCAGCCGACCGCGGCGTCCCCGACCTGCGGGCGAGGGGCTCGGCCTCAGCCCCCCGCGCAGCCCGGGGAGGCCCCGCCCCTCCGCGCCCCCGGACCGCCGGCTCCCACCTTCTTCTGGAAGGTCACCCCTCCGAAGGCGCGCTCGTGGAAGCCGTAGCCGCGGCTCAGCAGCTGCTGCACGAACATGGCCCCCGCGCAGTGGTCGGGCAGGCGGGCCCGCTCCCCCGGGGCCCGAGCCTGTAGCTGCGACGCACAGGAGAGACTGTTGGGCCGGCGGCCACCTGGAGGTCTTGGCCCACGAGGAGCGGTGGCCGGCGGCGTGCTGTACCCCTCCACCCCAACACACACCCACGGGCAATGAGGGGCCAGAGACGCATCACGGCCAAAGGGGCCACCGCCACCAGGCAGGACGGTTCCCTCCAGGACCAACAGTGTGACTTCCGGATGGCAGTGGGCTACCCCTGCTTTGGAGGTGGACCCCGAGGGGCCAGCAGGGACGGCCACCCAGGGAGCAGCAGGCTGGCAGCAACCTTAGTGCGAGGTCAGGGGCCCAGGAGAAGCACCAGGCCTTCAGCATGGACCTTGGGCTAGCCTTTTGCCCTCCATTCTCCCCCCACCCCCGCCGGCCATGTCTGCCTGAGACTTAGACACAGAGAAGACAGGGTGGGGCCTCTGTCACCACCAGAGCCTAGAGACACTGTGTTTCTCCCGAGGTTTGGCAGGCACCCCACGCTCCACCTATGAAAACACTACTTCCTTTACTTGGCACGTGTCTGACGAGTGGCAGAAGCCAGAAACCTGGAAGATGTCTTTGAAGCCTGGCTCCCCTACCCCTAAGCTCTGCCAGTCCTACCTGCTACAACCGTTCCCCACCCCACTTCACTGCATGTGCCCTGCTGTTCCCTCTGTCCTCCAGATCTTGGTCAGGGGGGCCTGATGCTGGCTGGCCGGGCCCTCTTGCGCAGCCCTGGGGGAGCGGGGAGGAGGCCTCACCTCACTCCATGTCTGGTTGCAGACCGTGACCACTGCTGCCTCCAGCTGCGGCCAGGTTGCCACAGGCAGCCCCATCACCGTCCGCAGGAAGTCCATGGTGTAGAAGAAGGCAGAGAAGGCCTGCAAGGGGGGTACAGTCATACCAAGAGCACACCCCACAGGCTACAGGGCACCGGCCCCCACCCCCATCCCCTGGACTCACGATGAAGTTCCCAGCCACAGGGGGCTGGAAGATGCCATTGAAGGAACATTGGGAGAAGCGGCAGGAGGAGAAATTGAAGAGTCCCATGATGAGGCTACGGCAGAGGGCAGGGTCGCTAGTCCCGGACAAGCTGACCCTGGTGCTGTTGTTGAAGGCCTGGGGCCGCTGGGCCGCAGTGCATGGAGACTCATACACGTCCTGAAGCAGCACGTGGGTGGAATAGCCCCTTGGCCAGCACGGGTGGAAGCCATGGGTCTGGGGGGAATGCAAGGGTGCGACACGCATCACCCCTACACCAGGCACTGCCCACCGCCCCCAGCCCGGGGCCTTCAGAGGCCCTCCCCAGAGGACCTGCTGATGAATCTCCCGTAAGTCCCGCTCGGGCAGCATCGCTTCTGTGCTCAAGAGCAATCCATGGCTCCCCACTGTCTGCTGGACAAAACCCAGCCCCCTGGCCAGGCACTCCAGGCCTTTGGAGACCCAGCCAGGCACTCACCAGACCCACCCAGACCACCTGGCTTTTGCGCCTGAGAGATCCCTCGCATCTGTCCTGCCGGCTGATCAAAGCCCAGCTTTGGCTTCTGCTGCCCAGAGCAGCCCCCCTCAGTCCAGGCTCTGCCCTGGACCCTTGGCTCCCATCTCTTCTCACCCCCCCTCCTTCCAGGAGGGCACAGTAGTGCAGGTGGGCCGGGGTGGGGGGGCACCTGCAGCGCACCAGCCAGCAGCCTCCGGAGGACCTGGTCACGGCCATAGCAGAGGAAGCTGTGCGTGTAGACCCGGTAGTGCTGGCCGTAGAGCCGAAGGTGGACCTCACTGGCTGGATCCTCAGCTGGGCTGGCCGTCTCGAAGGTGATCTGAGTGGAGGCGCCCCCCAGGTCCATGGCCCCCAGCGTCCCCTTCCTTGGCCGGAACCACCGGCCCACCCAGCCGTACTGTGGGGAGTGGAGGTTGGGGTCAGCCAGTGGGTGGGTCCCACGCCCCCTGGCTCACTGGGCTGGCCATCAGGCCCACCTTGATGAAGTTCTCCAGCAGGTAGTTGGCGGTCACCCAACCAAACACCCCCTCGTCCTGGCCTGAGAGGATGTGGGCACCACGGAAATCAAAGGGATACTGGGTCAGCGTCTGGGTCGCAGCCGCAAGCACATTGGCCGAGGCCTCTGGACTGGTCAGGCTGTAACACAGGGAGGACTCTGAGGGGCATCCTCCCCAGGTAGCCAAGATCCTGCGGCTGGGGTGCACCGTGTCTGCCCGGGGCCGCGGCTGAGGGTGTGCGGGGGCCCACCCTGTGCTGAGGCTGTTGTGGAGATGATGGTCAGGGGGCGGGCACACTCACTTGAGCAGGCGCATGCCTGCTGTGGCTCCTAGGTAGAGGGGTGTGCTCACGTGTCTCTCTTCGGGCACCTCCTGAAGTGCCTGGTCCAAGCATTCAACAAGACTCTGGCCAGCCCTGGAAGGGCTGTCTGCATAGCTGGAGATGCCCCCTCCTAGAGGGAGACAGGCAAATGGGCCCAAGCCTGACAGGCAGCCCCTAGGTGAGCCATGGGCCAGCAGGATTGGGGACCTTGGGCTCTCAAACCAGGTGGCAGCTTAGACACACCTTCCCAGCTCCAGCCCTCAGAGGCAAAGGGGCCCACCTGCCTGGGGGCCACCCAGTCTCTCAGGCTGCTGCCTGCCCAGGGGTGTGCCCACAGGTGCCAGGATAAAGCACTAGGCATTGTCAGTCTGGCCTTGCCTCCTCGGGGGCTTGCCTGGGTGTACCAGTCTTGGGCCAGGCAAGGCCCAACCTCCCAGTCACCACCTGGGGCTTACTTTCTAGAATGAACTGCCCCTAGCCTCTCTTTTGGAGCCTCCAGTGGTTCCTTCCTGGAGCAGGCCCCAGCCGCATCAAGCAAAGGAGGCATCAAGACTCCGGAGGCTCAGGCCAGACGGGGCCCCTGAGGCCCTACAGTGAGTGGCTGTCCCAACCAGGGGTGCCTAGCGCTCAGGGGACCCTACCGCGCACGTCACAGGAGCTGTGCTGGCCCACGATGCCTGTGTCGTTCTCCTTGTCTGCGGGCCACTTGTAGATAAACATGGATGTGTGGGAAGAGCCAGCGTCCAGGACAATGCCATACTGGGAATGGGGGTGAGGGCGGGGTCAGCCATGGGGGTGGGGCCTGAGGCCATGCCCTTTGGCTCCCCCAGCTCTCTACCCTACCCCACCCCATGGCAAGGTTGGAACCTCCGGAATGAAGTACTGGGGCTCGGGCGCTGGGGACAACCACGGAGCACAGCTTGGTTGGGGAGAGAATGGGGGCAGCCAGGGTAGGTGGCCTGGAGCCTCTTCTCTTCTGACTGCAAGAACCTTCCTGGCAAGGGCAAGCTGAGGGAATCTGTCAGGGTCAGAGGAGTCCTGGGACCACCCTTGACCCTTGCCCTGGGGACATGGGGTCCCCAGGTTCCAAAACAGAAACCCAGCTGCAGGAACCCCCTCCACCCACTCTTTCTTCCTCTTCTCTGCCCCCACCTCCCCAATCTCAACCCAACCTCAGGATCTGGAAGCATGCCTGAAAGCACCCCCTCCCTCCCTGAGCCTCAAGCCAGCACCAGTGACAGACAGCTGGGTCCTGCCCAGCTGAGAGGGGCTGCATGGGCCTTCCTTGCAATTGAAAGGGCCATTTCCCAAGGGCCAGGATTCCCACAGTGAGAACCCAACTGGAGAACATGCCCTCTTGAGCCCAGAAAGGGGCCACCCCAGTCCCCTTCCCCAACCTGGGAAGGGCAGCATGAGCACGCGAATCCTTATCGGGCCACCCCAGCCCCAGCCCCACCTAGTCGTAGCCCTTGGCTACAGAGCACCCACTCCTGTGACCTCCCATCCTGGGCCCCTGGGGCTTGGAGCACCCACACGCTCACACCAACCCCCCTTCACACAAGTCCAATAAAGGGTCAAGGGAGTCGGGGGGACTCCTGAAGACTGGTGGGAGATCTGGCCTAGTCCACCGCAACTCCTTTAGGACCCTGCCAGGCGCCCCCCGAGGGCAGCACCCCCCCCCTCCCCGCCCCGCACTGTCAGGGCCTCCGGGTGGGTGAGGAGGGATCCCTAGCCTCCAGCGCCTGTGGCTGAACCTGGAGCAGATGCGTCCCTGGGGGCCGTACGGGGCTGGGGGCCACGGGTCCAGCCGCAGCATGCGGCGTCCAGGGGCTGCATCTGGGGGAGCGGAGAGACAGCTCCCCGGCCGCGCCCGCGACAGGCTCCGCGGCGGACGCGGCGCGCGGGAGTTCCCAGGACTCCACCCCGCCGGGCCGGGAGCGCAGCGCAGCGCAGCGCGGGTTGGGGGTCCGGGGCTGCCACGCGGGCGCAGCCTGGCCCTGCTCAGGTCCGAGCCTCCCAGCCGGGTCCGCTACTCCGCGGACTGCGCCAGCTGCCCGAGCGCGCACCTTGAGGGCGGGCAGCTCCCGGACGTCGCGGGTGGGGACGTATAGCAGCAGGAGCCCCGCGAGGCCGGCCGCGGCCAGCAGCAAGGGCGGCAGCAGCGACAGCACCTTCCCAGCCATAGGCGGGCGCGCGGGTGGGCGAGGCGTTGTCCACGGGGCGGCAGGG